GAACTAGGGTTAGAGATCCCATTTGACCCAGCTATTTCCCTGCTGGGTATCTTCCCCAAAGAATTAAAAGAATCATATCACAGTGCACCCATGTTGATAGCAGCACAATTTGTAATAGCTAAAACTTGGAAGCAGACCAATTGCCCATCAACTGGAGACTGGATAAAGAAAATGTGTGTGTGTGTGTGTGTGTGTTTTAATAAAATGGAGTACTACTCAGCCATAAGAAATGAGAAATTAGACATTTATAGCTAAATGAATGCACATTGAGGCCATACTCTTAAGTGAAATAAATAGGACACACGTATGCAGATACCAAATAGTTTCTCTAGTGTGAGAACCTGAAAGTGTAAATAAGGACTAAAAGGTATAATAGATAATGTGAAACAGGAAGAAAAGGGGCAAAGGGGAAGGGGAAGTGTGAGGGCTAGGGGAAAGGAAAGAAGGGAATGGAATGAATATGAGAAAATGAAAAACTGGAAACATAGTCTTTGTGAATAGGGAGGGATGGAGGTGGTGAAGGGAGGGCAGGGGAAGGGTGAAAAATAAGAACCAAGAGAGATTATGTAAAGGTGTGAATTTCCAATGATGAATGTCATTATATTGCATACCTAAAATGTACCAATAAAATAAAATTTTTAAAAAATGACAAGGGAACAGATTCTAAGTATCGGTAATAAATTTTAAAAAAGGAGTAGGCAAGGGAATAAGTTGCCATTGTAAACAGAGTGGTCAGTGGAGCCTCACTGAGAGGCTGACACATGAGGAAAGACTGGAGGAGAGGAAGTGGCTCAGGAAGATCTGGGGAAAGAGCACTCCAGGCAGAGAGGATGGGACACCTTGGTGCAGGGGCCCTAAAGTGGGGGTACCTGGCTTGTCTGGTGAACAGGTAGGGCTGGGCCTCAATTGAGCAAGTGGGGAAGGGAGGGAGGGAGGAGAAGAAAGTAGAGCAGAGGGTAGGGTGAGATTTGCAGGGCCTCCCTGGCTGTATAAGGACTTTGGCTTTGTGTGAGATGAGGGGAGGTGCTGGATGCTGCTTATTGAAGAGGTATGGTTGACTTGGGCCCTTCTGGTTGCTGTGTCTGGAACAGGCTGGGAAGAGGGTTCCTACACAGGGAGATCAGGTAAGAGGAAAGGCCAGGGAAGCCATGATGGATATATCATGAGAGAGACAGACAGACAGACAGAGACAGGGATTTGATAGATAATGATTGATACAGACATGGATGTAGCTTTTAATTTGATAAATTATAAAGGATTTCTGGACAGATTGGATGTGTGGCGATGGGGAACAGGAGCCAAAGATAACTTTCTTGGCAGAACCTGTGTTGCAGAAGAAAATCTGAGTTTCTGAATGCCATAAATTTAATGCCTTTAGATGGCTGGTAGTAGATTATAAAGAGGCTCCTCAGAAATATACTTATAAGGTTTTGTCAGAGAACTGTATCTGTGTTTATCGTCTGCGTGTCTTCCTAGTTTGGTAGGGTGAGAAGGGAGCACTTAGAGAAGGGGGATGTTCTGCATGAAGCGAAAGGCAGAAAGATCTGTAAGTAACTCACAGGGTCCTGAAGCAGGCTGCAGCCCCAGCAACTTTGAAGTGTTGCTGCTCAAACTCCTGTTTCCTTAATTCCCCAATTCCCCTCCTCTCTTTGCGTGATTGAAATAGCAAGCTTTTCCCAACACCACAGTTACAAGTAGCACCTGTCCCATCATCTCCATGTTCATGGGCTTTTAAAAAGCAACTGTGCTGGGCGGAGGATGTAGTTCAGTGGGAAAGCACTTGGCTGACATGCACAAAGCCCTGGGAATTTTAAATACTACAAAGCAAAACACTCCAAAAATACCCACAAGCTTTATTGAGGTGTAATACATGAACCATTTAGTTCATCCTTTTCAAATATGCAATCTAGTAGTATTTAGCATAGTTCTAAGTCATGCAATTATCACCACAATGTGTTTCAGAATTTTTCCATATCTCAGAAAGAAATTCTGCACCTTGTGTGTTCTCCACACTGCCCCTGGCAATCCCTAATCTAATCCCTGTCTCCATGGGTTTGCCTTACCGACTTTTCATATGAATGAAATAGTTCAGTATGTGAGTTCTGTGTCTCTTGCTTCTCTCACTCAGCATATTATTTTCAAGGGAATATGTATGAAAACTTAACATCTTCATATTACCAAACTCACTTGTTATTTTTGCATATAAAACATTTTGGGAGAATTAAAAAAGCACACACACAAAAGAGATGGAACAAAGCAGAAAGACTAAACCACATATTACAAAGGGACTTTCTGTGCCTAGAGAGCTAATGTGTGCGTGTGTGCACGCATATGCATGTGTATTAATTTATTTACTTTCACAATTGAATACAGACTCTGCAGAGTTTGTGAGTAAATCTCAAGACTAGTGACTTTCCAGTGGCCCAATGATTTTTCTTTCATTCAGTGATTGAATAATGATTTATTAACCACTACACTCCAGGTCCTATGCCAGGTACTGGGGGTAAACACAGTGGTGAACCAAACAAGGCTGTGGAGTCGGGAGATAAGTCGATATTAAATAAAATATTGAGCAAAAGAGATATGAAATAAACTGATATCAAAATTACAATCTGTGATAAGTGCCTTGAAGGATTTATGATATTACACAGAGAGTAAGAAGGACCTACTTTAAACTGGATAGAGATGAGCACAAATATCTGTTGAAAGATGAATGGATAAACTAAATGTGGAATATCCATGCAATGGAATACTACTCAGACTTCAAAAGGAAGTTAGTTAATTTTGATACATACTACATGAATGACCCTTGAAGACATTATACTAAATGAAATAAGCCACACACAAGAAGATAAAGATTGTATGATCCCACTTAAAGGAGGCACCTAAAATAGTCAAAATCATAGAGGCAGAAAGTTCAACTGTTTTTACCAGCAGCTGGGGGAGGGACAAATGGACAGTTACTAAATGAATACTGAAATTCAGTTTGGGAAGATGAAAAAGTTCTGGAGCTGGATAGTGAGAATGATTACACACCAGAGTGAATATGCTTAATACTGCTGAACTATACACTTAAAATGGCTAATGTGATATATTTCATGTATTTTTACCACACTTTAAAAAAAATACCCCTGGAAGGTCTCTCGGAGGATCCTGTCCTTAAGTTGGGACCCAAAGTGTGAGAAGGCACGAGTCAGTGGAAGATGGTCTGGTCAATGGGAACAGTGTGCGCAAAGCCTCAGAGGAGGGAGGGAGCTTAGTGCTGTATTGTAGGAGCCATAATGGCTGGGGTGAAGGATATGGGGCTGATGGCATGAGGTGGGCTAGGCTAAGCTGTAAAGGAGCGAGTGGAAGCCATTCACAGATATCTTAAGCAATAGAGTGACATGATTTAATTTCCAGTTTGAGTGATCAACCAGACTACAATGTGGAAAATGGGTTGGGAAGAAGACCTGAGCAGGCAGGAGGCCAGTTAGGAGGCTGCTGCAGCTTCCAAAAGAGAGTGACTGGACCTTGGGCTAGGAGAGTGGGAGGGGATGAAGAGAGAGGAGGGTCACAGCTTCGCCTGAGAAGTGGGAACCTTGTTCTTCATGGGGGATTGGATTTGGAGACCTAAAAGAAACATTGGATGATGTCTCAGACTTCTCATGTGTGATTCATGATATTGAGACAGAGTAGATTTGGAAGGTGGAGTTAGCTTGGATCATGTTTGGCTTGAGCTGCTGAGATACACAGGAATGGCCAGAGGTCATGCTTTAGTAGTGTCAGAAATCAGGTTAGAGATCTCTTTGCAAATGAAACTTGGAAACTCTTGGATCATTCTTATAACTCTGAACTATGAAATATTTGCATAACAGGGTAAAACCAGCTAGTGCCTATATTTCCTCACTGTTCTATTTTGAGTTTGTTTTGTTAAAAGACAAGGAATAAAGAGTTTTCAAGATCTAAAAATACTTTGGGGTTAGTATAACCAAGATTGTTTCCTAATAGGATGGAGCGAAGTCCAGCTTAATGCTTGGCCTGGTTTTATTTAGTCAGTTTTAGGTGCTTATCCACAGAACCAGAATGTGAGAAAATTCTAGTGATTTGTGGAACTCTTGCCCTAGTTTTGCTGTGAACTTTGAGATAGAAGACAGGTGCTGGTTTATTAAAGACTTTGGTCCCTAAACTAATTAACTGGAGTCAATTTTGTCCAAAAGGGACATTTTAGGTTCTCAGAACTCAGGGGATATCATTAGCATCTAGTGGTAGAGACCAGGAATGCTGTTAGACATCTCTCAAGAAATACCCTCAAATGTCAGTAGTGTTGAGGTTGAGATAGAATATGAATTTTTGTAAAATGCTGTGTTCTGCAGGACTCAGTCCCAGGCACATTTCCCACTCCATGCTGTGTATCTCCTGTGTACACCAAACCCAGCCCATCACGAACTGAACTCCCTAACCAGTTTCAAAGATGGTTCCTCTCTTGCTGATGATTACACCAGAAATATGAACCAGAACCTTAACCCCTTTTTCTTCCAACCTGCATCCCACTTTCATTTCTAATCATCTCTAAGATCCAGTGCTTCTACCTGCAGAATACCTTGGATCTGATGAGCTACCTCTATCTCCCCTGCCATCCACTTAGTTCAAACCATCATCTTCCCTCCCCTGGACTATCCCAGTAGCCTCCTAAGTGACATGTCCATTTCGAGCCTGCTGCTTTCATCCCAGAGCAGCCAGTCAGGTCCTGAGTTGTACCCCTACCCAGCTGCAAACCCTTTTAGTAGCTCACCACTTCAGTTGTAAAAACAGCCACTTTCTCTCCACAGCTCCTGGACCCGGATTGCTCTGACCCGTGCCTCCTCCTGCTTGTACTCTTCAGCTTCAGTCCAGCATCATGGTCCTTTTCTGTCCCCAGACCTTCATATTTGTTGCCTTCTCACCTGAAACACCCTTCCTTGGAATCATTCCTTCTTATCTTTGGCTTTTGGGCTCCAGTGTCATTTCCTGAGGGTAAGCTCTGATAACATCAAGTAAAAGACTCCCCCAAATCTTTTCTTGTACTCATCTGAGTGGAACCTTCCCTTGCTTGTGGGAATTATTGGTGTGCTGTACCCGTGATGCTGGATAGTTCCTGAGGAGGGATCCCGTTGGTCGTGCTCATGATAGCTCAGTGGCAGACAAGGGCTGAAGCTTGTGTGAATGATGTGAATGGGATGTTAGTGGTAGGAGTTGCTTCCTGGGTGGGTGAGGATGAGCTGAAGTGAGGAAATAAGAAATGGGGGCCATAGAATGGAACTGTTAACTCAGTTGAGGGGTATTCAAGAAGGTCCCCTTCAAGAAGGTCTCTAAGAAAGGGCTACATTGGAAGGTGATCTTGAAGAATGGTGAGGGGTTCCCCAGTCTTGGGTGAGAATGAAAAGCCCCAGTTGGTGTGAGTGGGAGACATATTTGAGATTCAGCCAATCCTAAAGAAAACCTGGCCTCTGATCATGTCCACACATGGTTGGGATAGACCATCCAGAAAATGGCAGCTTCCACAGTATGGACCAGCAACATCTCATCCCAAACATACATGTCACTCTCCCAAGGATCCTGTTAATATAGATTCTGGGTTTGTTCAGAGAGCTAATTCTCCATTTCTATCAGGCAGATGCTACAAATACTGTTGTTCTGTAGAGAACAGGGGAAAACCAGAGATGATGTTGAAAATGGCAGCACCTCTGTCATCATGTGCTCTTTGTGTATGGCAGAGGAGCTCCATCTGTCTCTTTAACACTTAATTTTTCCTTTACACTGTCTTACTGGGGCTTCATTGATGACACATCTATATGGCATATTCAATTTTTTTTTTGCATATTCAGTTTTTAAAAATTTCTTATTCTTTATGGGCCTTCTCATGTTATTAAAAGAATAGAAGCAAAAGAAGACAGGTTAAATCACACATGTCCTGTTCCTCCATGTGCAGGTCATCAGTGTCAAACAACCACAGTAAGCGTGTTGATGCTTTTGTTAAACGTCAGCCACCTCAATATTATTTTATCCACACTTGCATTTGCCAGGTGCCCTCTTCCTCCTGTGATCTTCGTATTACCTCTGTTGTAGTTTTTGATAGAGTAATTTTGCCTGGATGGTGTGTTCTCTGTCACTTAAACTTCTGGACACCTTCCTGCCTCCCGCCAGCCCCTACATCTTCAGAAAAGACAAAATAGAATTAGTCTAAGCTGGTCTTCATTTGGAAAGTGAATCCTTTCTCTTCTTCTTTTTTTAAACTTTATTATCATTCGCTAAACACACATGTATACAAAAATTAAAAATTTTCAAAGAAAAGCAATGCAAGGGAAAAAAACTACAATAATATTCAAATATAATAGAACTCAACCAAAGCAAAACTGAAAAGTACTTAAACATTTTTCCATATAATTTAAAAAAACATCTCAAACATTAACAAGACATCAAAGGATGTGATTTGTTTTAGAAAGGTTTTCAAAACTAATATTGAACAAATAGTGGTCGGGAAAAAAATCCTAATTAGCTAGTAGACTCCACATAGGCCAAACTTTTTAAATTTAAATTTCAATACAGTCATGTGACACATGATGGAAATATAATCTGAGAAATATGTTATTAGGCAGTTTCATCCATGTGTATTGCAAAGTACCATGCAGAGTGCCAACTTCTAAATGCAAACTGAGAAGGTATACGTCAATCATCTGTGATGGCCCCTTGATATTATCCAAATACACAGTTAAACACGAGATACTTGAGGCTACCATTGGCATAGCAGCACACTGTTTTACAGTAAACTCTTTTACATAAGTAGGATTATGCTCTAAAGGATGAAAAGCACAGCAGGTTATGATAAGTACCTAAAACAGTAACAGTCATTTATCACACTATGGAGTACTGTGTACTGTACATAGTTGTATGTGCTTCTTCTGGAAACACAGCCTTCTCTCCTTTGATCTCAGTGCCTCTTCCTTCCCAACCCACTGATGAGCTCCAGCCTAGTCTCTATCTACATCTCTTCCTATAGTTTTAAACACAATCTGTATATGGATTCTTTCCAGATTCCAGCCTGTAACTCTGATCTCTCCCCTTCCCCTCCTGCCACCCCTACCCCTTTGAACCTTTTCTTCCTATTTCAAATTATCAGTTATTTGTTTTAATCATTTTAATCTTTGTTTACACTTTCAGTTTCTCACACCAGAGAAACTATTCAGTATTTACACATGTGTGTCCTATTTATTTCACTTGAGGATGGCCTCAATGTGCATCCATTTAGCTATAAATGTCTCTAGTTTCTCATTTTTTATGGCTGAGTAGTACTCCATTTTATTTTTAAAAACCACATCTTCTTTAGCCATTTTCCATTTGATGGGCACTTGGGCTGTTTCCAAGCTTTACCTATTACAAACTGTGTCGCTATAAACACGGATGCACATATATCGCTGTGGTATGATTCTTTTCATTCTTTTGGGAAGATACCCAGCAGGGGAATAGCTGGGTCAAATGGGACCTCTAAGCCTAGTTCTTTGAGGTATCTCCATACTGATTTCCACAGTGGTTGCACCAGTCTGCACTCCCACCAACAATGGAGAAGGGTTCCTTTCTCCCCACATCCCCTCCAGCATTTGTTATTGAATGATTTCTTGATAGCAGCCATTCTTTCTGGGGTGAGGTGGAATCTCAGGGTTGTTCTCATCTGCATCTCTCGAATAACCAGTGATGTTGAACATTTTTTCATATATTTATTTGCTGCTTTTACTTCTTTGTCTGAGAAATGTCTGTTCATTTCAGATGCCCATTTTTGAATCGGGTCTTTATGTTTGGAGGGTCTGATTTTTTTGAGATCTATATATATTCTAGATAGTATACCTTTTCTTAAAATTATAGTTAAGCACATGGATTTTACATTATCTGGAGCCTTCTTTAAGATCCACACACTACAGGTGGCTGAGGAATTTTCTGTGTGTGACTGTGCCATTCATTCTTAACTTGTCAAGAAGGAAATCTTCGATTTGGCTGTACATTTAGGATCACTTGAAGAGCATCAGCAATGTTGCCACCTGAATTCTCCACCCAGAGATCCTGATTAATCACCCGGGGGATACACCTAGGGCCATTCGAGGGTTTGGTCAAGACAGACTGCTTGGAAAGGCAGATGATGTGGAAGTCTTTTATAGGATGACATTTTGTGTATCAAAAATGTTCTTGGGCTTAAAGAAATACCCATTATGAGCCTGTGGGGGAAATGATAGAAATAAATGAGTAGATTCTTCGGCTTGGATCCTGCAACATGTCAGTTGTAGCTGGCCTTAAGTCACTTTACTTCGTAGCTCACAACTATGTAGTGATTTGCTGATGACAAAGACCTTCAATAACTGATGAATTAATACATTCATTTCCACTTTACAGATGGGGACATTGAGGCACAGGGAGACCAAACACAGATTCAGCACTCTCCCCCCCGCCCCGCCCCAACCTTTCTGAGCTCTGGATTCATCTTGTAAAAATAATAAATTTGGAGATTTTTCCCTAACAACCATGATAGCTCTAAAATAGGTGGGTCTGGTCTATTATTTTTAACTACTTGGTAGTTTGACAGAACCCTCCAAATGAATGAAATGGGCTCAAGAATGAAGATACGATCCAAGTAGCCCCTCTATTTGTAAGAACAAAGATTTAATAATCATACCTAACCTAGATGAGGAACTCAACCCTGACTACTGGGCCTTGAGATCACTTCAGGGAGCCTTTGAAAAAGTAGAAATTCCTATGTCCTATCCTTTGTGTTTCTGAAGTTCTGAAGTGATTTTGAAGCAGATGACTCAGTACTTGAGGCCTGCTTTTTGGTCTTCTTAGAGATTACTCTTATCTGATCAATAGTGGTTGTATGAATGGTCTTCAACCCTGATTTTATGAATTGCAAGCAGTTGGCTGACCCAAACCAGCCTAGATTGAGCAGCCAGCATTGGACAGGCTGCATCCATCAGGCACACATTGTAGAGACAAGGAAGTTGCCTTCTATACAAATCATGTAAAATCATGACGTGGCTATTGAGACCGAACTCTTGACCACTTAGAAGTCATTTCCTAATGGGTTAGGGCAAGGAGGTGTTGGGAAATGAAAGAGACAAAGAAATGTGGAACCATGTGTTCCCTCTGTTAGGCTGAAGCTGTCCACGGAATGAATACATTTTTCACAAATCACATATAATATTATTCACATCAGTGAACCCCTTTAGTTAAAGCCAATGAAGGTATTTTGAGGGTTGCAGAATGTAAGGATCAAGCAAGTATATTTTGAGGGGTTTGATCAAAAGCTCTCTGGCCTTAGTAGAACAGGCAATCTCCAGAGAATCCTGACTGCCAAGTCCTTGTGACACATCTTCCTTCCATCTTCCCAGAAACCTTCTCTCTCTCTTGCTCTCCCCCGCCTGTCCACCCACCCCCATTTGGAAGCCAGCCCATCATAGTTTTAATTGTCCAATTCCCAGAGCGTGAATATGTATGTAAACATACAACAGGATGTTCCTCACAGCTGTGCAGAGGGCTCGGGAGCCAGCGAAATGGTTTCTTTGTTCCAAACTGAGTTAATCCTCTCAAACCTTCAGCTATGTTTAGAGTAATTGTCAAGTTATTCATTTTCATTTTAAAAGGACCTTTAAAAATTTATAAATTGAGTATATTTTTATCTTTTCAAGGATTTACTCAAGTGAGTAAAAGATTTTTAAAAAGATGTTTGGGTTACTTTTTCCATCTTAAGATTTTTAAAAATATCTATATTTATTGAGATCTTCTAAATCAATTTTACACTTACAGACTTGTGGAATTTGAAAATTATGATAACCAATATGTTAAAAGAATTAGAAACACAGGCTTTAGTCAGTGTTTGGACCTCTTGCATTTGTATTTATAATATATAGATCTAGCAGAAAGAGAATCTTTTGTTACACAAGTTAGGAATTGAAAATTAGCCATCCCTTAAGTAAGATAGAAACATTGTGTTC